CCAAGCTTCTGTCCCTGCCCTACAGCCCCCTCCCTCCCCCCCAGGTGGTGGATTACCTGACCCAGTACTCAGGGATCAAGCCAGGGGACCTGGACGCCAAGATTTCCTCCAAGCACCTCACCACACTCAAGTCCACCTACCTGAAGCTGCGCTTCCTCATCGACGTGGGGGTCAAGTTCGTAGGCCACGGGCTGCAGAAGGACTTCCGGGTCATCAACCTCATGGTGTGCCTCCCATCCCTGGGTCTTCCTGCTCTCCCCGGGGCAGGTGTACAGGGACTGTGCACAAACCCACTCAGCTCTGCCCCTTCTCCAGGTGCCCAAGGACCAGGTGATTGACACAGTCTACCTGTTCCACATCCCCAGGAAGAGGATGATCTCGCTGCGCTTCCTTGCCTGGTACTTCCTGGGTGAGTGGAGCCCTGGGCTGCGCTGGCAGGGCAGGGGAGCTGTACCCTGCCTGGCAAAAGCACTGTTGGCTCAGGCTATCCCAACGGCGTCCCTCCCCAGGGCTCTCTGGACAGGGGTCAGAGGCAGCTGGGTCCCCAGTGACCAGTTCCCCCCTCTGGCCCCCCAGACCTGAAGATCCAGGCGGAGACGCATGACAGCATTGAGGACGCGCGCACGGCGCTGCAGCTGTACTGCAAGTACCTAGCACTGAGCCAGGGTGGTGCTGAGCCCGACGAGGTGCGCAAAGTGCTCAAGGGGCTGTATGAGAAAGGTCGCAAGATGGACTGGAAGGTGCCCGAGCCTGATGGCCCGGGCAGCCCCAAACGTGAGGCGTTTTCCCCACCCCTTGCAGCACAGGGCCATGCCAGTGCTCCACACCCGCACTGACTCCCATCTCCCTGCAGATGCTGCTGTGTACCCGCCTGTGCTGGCGCTTTGACCTCAGTTGCTAACTGCGCTCTGGCCTCAAGGGCCCATCCTGCTCCGTGCCCGTGTCTGGACAGGCCGCTGTGGCTGAAGCTTCCTGGGAATATCTGACCTTAGCTGCCACCTCCTGCCTGTGGGACCCTCCTGCCCCATGGGGTACCTGGGGCCGTACACCACCCCTGGTCCTCTGTGCAGCTGCAGGAGCTCGTGGCTGCCTGGGGTTTTTAATACATTTGTATAAAAGGTGGGTCCAGTGGGGGCAGGTACTCGGGACCCACCTTGGCGCATTGTGTCACGGGCTTGCCCCACATGTCACCAGCACCCGGTGCCACCAGCTCCAGGGCAACTCATAAAGCTGCATTGGCACCATCAGCATCAGCCATGGTCTGTGTCCTCCTTGTGTGCTGGGGCAGGGGGTGGGCTCTAAACTGGCATACCCCAACCCTGCCCAGGATCCCCCGGAGCAGGCAGGGAAGGGGAGAGGTGACTGCTGCGGGGGAAGCGGGGGTCCGAGTTTCCGCCCAGCACGGGCACCAAGCAGGTCCTGCTGGCTCCTGGCAGTGCCCTCGGGCAGGGCAGTCGTGCCAGGGCCTGCAGGAGCCGACCCTGCGGCCTGGGAATCCCGGCCTGGCTCCACTGCGGGCTCCGAGCCGGTGCCACCTGCTGAATCACCAGCCCACGCCCGTTCCCAGGGGCCCCAGGAGCCGGGCCTCGCCACCCCCGGGCTGGGAAGAACCCAAGAGCCTGGCTCCTGGCTCAGGCCCGCTGGACTCCAAGTCCCAGTCCCGGCCACGTGGGGAAAGGGCACGGCCAGCCCAGCTGGCCACGTGGCGACCCGAAGCCCCA